ACGATGATAGATATTCCTCCAAAAAGGAGAGGAAAAGAGGGAGTTTCATGGCCAAAGGAGTTAAACAGTTTTTTTGGAGCAGATCTTCCTGGAGCCTGGACTTGGCAACAAGCATTGGGAATCTCCCAGAGGCAGGTAGAGTATGGCAAGTTTCCCAAACTTATTTGCCCTGGGGCCCTCCTCACCCCTGAGTGTCTCCAGAACAAGTGGGTTGTCTGAGTTGACTCAGTGACAGAGTAAATCCCAGTGTCTCAAATCATCCAGGCCTAAGCTGGTACTGGAAACACAGGGGGAAAACCCATTTCTCTTGCACAGTAGAGGCCTGGATGGTCTGAGGGTAGAGGCATGAGAGATCCCCACAGAGGGAACAGGCAGCTGGCTGGGGCTAGGGCGGGGTCTGGCCTCTGACAGGTCGCCCAGCTGAGAGTCCCTGTGATCCATAACTCAACCTCAACACATCCTTAATGTGAGGGCCCACTTCCTGGCCTGGGGATCCTGCACCACTCTGTCATCTCTGTGGGGAACATTATGTTGCCATTGTTTGGGGTACATTTGCTAAACTCCTCATTCTCTTTTCTTGCTTTATTTTTGTCCATAGGACCTGACGTTTTCTAACATGCTACTTATCTTGTCTCCTCCCACTAAAATGTAGGCTTCATAAGGCCAGGAATTTTTGTCTGTTTTATTTACTGCTGATTTCTCCAGGGCTTGAAATATTGGCTGGCATACAGTAAGTGCTTAACAAGTAGTTGTAGGATGACTGCAAGTCTCTACTTGAGAGGCTGGTGATCAAGGGGACCTTTCAGCACCAGGCATCCGGACAGTTCCAGGACTGCTCAGCCTTTGGAGGGAAGCCAGATGACTGCAAGTCTCTACTTGAGAGGCTGGTGATCAAAGGGACCTTTCAGCACCAGGCATCCGGACAGTTCCAGGACTGCTCAGCCTTTGGAGGGAAGCCATCCGCAGGATGACTGGGGAAGGTGAGTTTGAAACTGTGGCCTCCATCCTCAGGCCTGAAGCCTCCCAGTCGGAGCTGTGTGCTCACCTTGGCTGAGGCTCAAACCCTGTCCACTCCATTGCCTGAAAACTCACCCCACTTCTAGTATTTCCTTTTTCTTTTTGAGTTCAGCAATTCTTTTTATGTATCTATAAAGTGCTGAGCATTTCTTTCTTCTTGTCTTTCTTTCTCTTAAATGGTCATCATGCTCCTCATTCTCCACCTCTCCTTCCCTTGCCCCCTTCTTTCTACACTTCATCCCCTTTCTACTCTCCTTTCCTTCTCCCTCTATCATATCCCTCCTTGTTTCCTCCCAATTTCTCTATCCTCATTATCCCTTCCCTCCTCCCCTCTCGCTCCCTGTTTTGTCCTCTCCCTCTTTAGAGGTGCCCTATTTTTGCAGGGCTTGAATCTGATTAATAGTAAAGGGTAGACAGCCTCCCTACCCCTACTCCCTTTGGGAAGCAAACAGCAAAAACTGAACTACGTGCAGTTTTGCATAAGTCTCCCCCTCCTAGCTTCCACCCACAGTCCTAACCACCAGGGGACTGCCACAGGTGATGAAAGCCTGTAGCAGGCCTGCCCTCCTGCCCCATCTGCCACCCTGGGACTGCACTGGGTGGGAGGCTGAATTCTGCCCCAAAGGCCAGGAGCTGGTGGGTGGATTCACAGGGTGGATCACATAGGGTGGATGCCCCATCTTCCCTGCTCTGATTGCTGTTGTGGGCAACTATGGATGAATGATTCTTGGGCTGTGGTTCCCAAGACTGGGAGTGCGATGGTTCATTGGTCTTTCCTAAGGGAGCCCTCATCTAGTGACTGAGTAGGGCTTGCTGAGTTACAAGTGCTCTAGAACTGTCACTACTCTTGTTACTAGAGCAGAGGCTAAGTAGCAGTAGGAATGAAGGCTGTTGTCTAAGGAAGGGAGGAGATGCCTCCACTTTTATGACTGTCCTCTCTCATCCCTGCAACCCTATGAAGTAGATACTGTTATTATCCCCACTTCATGGTTTGGGAGATGAAGCCTCAGAGAGGTTGGGTAACTTGTCCCAGGTTACACAGCTAGTATGTGGTGGAACTGGGATTTGAAGCCTCGTCTGATAGGCTCTGCAGCAGGTATACTCTATAAGACTGTGCCACTATGTCTTATGTTTACAGGAAGGCCCAGCTGGATCCAGAACTTTCCTGGTTCTCTCATGGCTGGCTGAGGGCTCTGTTCAAGGGGTTCCTTCTGGCACCTTGGTGGAAGCAAGTAGAGTTGAGAACTAGTTGTGAGTTTTTTTCCAGGTTCTTATCTTTGCTCTGGGTTGTCTTGGGGCAGGGTGTGGGCGGTGTCAAAAAACAAAATTACAATAAATTTAGTTGAAGATCTCAATAGCCTTCTTGTGATTCTAGAATCAGGCAACACATGTTCTATAAAAAAAGAGTAAGTTTTCTTGTGAGCGAAGCGGAAGAGGTTCGTTCTATAGACAGAAAATGGCTAAAGAAAGCAGAAACAAAGAACAAAAAGT